TGCTGGGGCGTGTCAGGGAAGCTGGATTTGGCGCAGCGCCAGCCTGTTCTCCACTAGTTGTTGAGGAGAACAAGCGACAACAGTTAGTGGAAAACGGGTTGGCACCGTGCCAAAGCCAGCCCCGGCACTGCAGCATTCGCAGCGAACTGTAGCTACGAAGTGCTTTGCATGACTGACCACTACTCGGGACTAACGACATACACCCGCCTATGGTTACGATGTGAAATTTTAATAATATAAAAGGTTTGGGATTTTGTTTTCGGATTTTTTAACATGTTTTATGAGTAATACGGGTTATATGAGTTCTTTAGCGAATAAAGTAGATTAGTTCAGAGATCTTGTTCATTAGATGTGCTGTCGTGCTTGACCATGTGTGTAGCTTCCAGTAAGACCAGCACTGTGAGGAGGATGGCAGCTGTAGAAGTGTGACCCTTTTATGCGCAGGTAGGAGGCCGGAGAGTAGTGTTTGTGAATTAATCCCAGGAGAAGCGTTCACAGGGAATTGGTAGAACAAGGCAGCCGAAGGCTGGGTCATGCCGCCCTGCTGACGCTATCCCCGACTGATTGTATTAGGTTGTCCGGAAAGTTCTGCACGTTTTGTGTTACTATTTTTTGTACATTCATTGCTGATTAAAAACTCATTCTCCCTTGCGTCTCAGTAGTACATCCTGAAGAGAATTCTTTGCGCTATCTGATGGTATAACTGCCGTTTCACCATTGCTTGATGAACCCCCTTTTTTTCGATTTTTTTTTTCAAGCATGTGAAAGCACTGGACGATTTTTTCTTCGACTATAAATTGGGGCAATCCGCAATCGAAACAGCTCAACAAATTAACCAGGTGTGGGGGCCCAATAGTGCTAGAGAAAGCACTGTGCGGCAATGGTTCAACAAATTTCGTTCTGGAGATTTCAGCCTTGAAGATGAACCTCATAGCGGTCGACCTAAAGCAATACCTGACGAGGATTTGAAGGCATTTGTGGAGGCTGACCCATCCCAAACAGTTCGAGAGATTGCAGAAAAGCTAGGCGTTGGCAAATCCACTGTTGCGGATGGTCTGAAACGCATTGGGAAGGTGAAAAACTCGACAAGTGGGTGCCCCACAATTTGAGTGACCGGCAGAAATTGGCACGTCTCGAGGTTTCTCTTCACTGCTTTTGCGCAACAGAAACGACCCGTTTTTGGACCGAATTGTCACCTGTGATGAAAAGTGGATCATGTATGATAACAGGAGACGTTCCGGACAGTGGTTGGATTCCGACGAACCACCGAGGTAATTTTCAAAGCCGAACCCTCACGAAAAAAAGATTCCGGTCACGGTTTGGTGGTTATCAGCTGGTGTGATCCACTATAACTTTTTATCACCAGGCCAAACCATCACAGCAGCGTCCTACTGTGAAGAAATCGACGAAATGTACCGAAAATTTTTGTCAGATGCAGCCAACACTTATCAAAAGAAAGGGTCCGATTCCTTTGCATGACAACGCCCACCCACACGTTTCACAAATCACTATCCATAAATTGGAGGGTTGAAGTTCTACCTCACCCGCCATATTCTCCAGACCTTCGCAACGACAATACTTTTTCAGAAAACATTTTCAGAACTTCCTTGCTGGAAAATACTCCATCAACCAGGACCAGGAAAAAAGGCCTACATGGACTTCGTGGATTCTCTACCACTCAGTTTTTTTCCTTTGATGGGATTTATCAAATGATGTCACATTGGTAAAAGTGTACTGATTCGAACGGTGCCTATTTTGATTAAATCCGATGAGTAAGTAAGAAAGTTATGATGGTTTGAAGTGAAACACTCAAAACGCTGAGAAGTTTCCGGACAACCCAATAAAAAAGTCATTGATAAATGAAAATCCAAACCTGTATAAGAGAAAACCCTGCGGTCACTCACAGCAATAATCCCATGTGCTGTGTAGACCAGGCAGAATGGTGGCCCTGGTACAGAACAGATTTTCATCTAAATTTTTGGATTTTAAGTGAATTTACCGAATTTTTGGAACAAGAAGAATTTCAAACTGTCATTGTCTTTTTTCAACAAATACAGAGGAAAAGTCCATAGCACCGAAATCGATTACCTGTGTTTTACTGCTGAACGTAAAATGAATGATAGAGCCATCTTGATGTCCAGAGACGAAAGCGGTCCTTCGTGGGCTGAATGCTTAATGTTGAACAAAATAATCTCATCGAAAACACTGCAAAATCACGTAAAAAGAAAACAGTTATTCAATTTCTGAAGGTAGTATCCACAAGTAGGTGAGGAATTTTATCCAGAAAAATCGATCATATTTCAGCAAATTCAATGGATAATTGACGAAAAAGGTTTGCACAAGTCATTATGTGGGCCATAATGCATTCAAACTACGATTCTGAAAGGAAAATAGATGCATGGCGCATCCCAAAAAGAGATGGGTCAACGCTATGAATCTCTAGTTTCCTGAATGGAAACCTACACTATTCTGCTTGTAATAATACAAACACTGGAGAACCCCCTCAATTCCTTCTATAGTCCATATGCCCATTCAAATGACTCAATCGATCTTAATTCGGAGTGGAATTCCAAGAGTTTTTGTCGATCAATAGTTGCTAATTTTCCACACATACCGATTGTTCGGTGCAAATGGTAGAAAAAGACGCCGATTTGACACCAATTTATTAAATGGCAAATTTTCACAAAATTTCCCGTTTCGCAGGCACCATATAGATGCTCCTATCTCAGCGCAGTATTCTCTGTTTATAACCATGTGTAGCAACAAAATAAAAAGTGCAGTGTCAGAAGGGGGCAAGGGACGCGTCGTACGTTGAGGATCCTAGTGAGGGGGGAGTCGTATTTGGTCACTGGAGAAAGGGAGGACGTATTCGGAAAACGGTTCCTTCCCTTTCCCCCCCCCCTCTAATTTTTTCTCGGTTCGGAAAAATTTAGGAAGCTCGTGATTTGATTGTAACTTGGGGAGGATAGGGGACGGGGAAGACGTTCGTATCTAAGGAGGACATTTTGAGGAGGGAGGGGGGACTCGTATTTCGCAAAAATACTCCTAGTGCTTTGAACGGATCGCTGCTCTGAAGCTGTGCTGCTATGAACAATTTTTACCTTCTCAATCAGGGTACAGCATCGGGATGTGCGAAATGGCGGTGTGAGTACCGAACCTCGCCCTCCCACCCCCTCGAAGAGGATCGCCCCCCCCCCCTTCTGTCTGCTAAAATGACAGCCAGATGCATTGTTTGGTGATTCAAATGGCTTACCCGAAATTGGAATCTAGGATTTCCTCGAGAGACGGACGCTGCTGACTAAACACCAATGCGCTAGATAGGCTGTTTTCAGCTTCCGCAATATGAGCGCCGGAACAGCAGCCTCGCATTTACCTACAATTTTGTCTTAGAACTCCCAATAAACTCCTTCGTTCGATAACAATGTATAACATGCAACTTGTAACAAGGAACACAATCGAAACAGCGACTAATGGTGATCATGATA